CAAATACACAAGGAACCACATGGCAAATACACAAGGAACCACATGGCAAATACACAAGGAACCACATGAGAAATAAAAAAAGGAAATACACAGCAACTGCCAGGATGGAGATGGTGGGACACACCAAATCACATATGGAATCACAGGAAAATAGACACAGACTCACACAGGGAATCAAACATGGGAATACAAACTAGCTGCCGGGACCCAGAGAGAACCTAAGACACATGGAATCACACACCGCACACACACAGAGCCAGAAAGAGAATGAAACAGGGAGAGACTCCAACACACACAAACACAGCCACCGACACACATGTACACGCAGTCGCCCATGACCACAGAAGTGCAGACACACGGAGAAGTGCAGAAGCATGCAAACAGGAATGATGAGGCGGAAACAAAGAGATGGACAGCTTATGCGGCAATGAAGGCAAGTGTGGTCTTATGACTGGTCTTTGTCTAGCCTAGACTGGGAAAATAAACTGATTCCAAATGCTTAGGACCAGGCTGGAGCGCAGGCACACGCTGGGGGCTGGATATGACAGGGCAGAAGACTGCAGACGGCTCTTTATGAAATGTGAACAGACCTTATCCAGAGTCCAGCCTTGATAATTTCTACCTAAAGGATTAACTGTGCTCTCATGAAGGTAGAAATGTAAAGGGCGTTTGATTTCTTTGTGAATAGTCAATACCTATTTCGAGATCGAGGGCAAGGTCATGTGACCTGTCTAGACGGAAGAAAGCCCTGCCTTCCCCCAACTATGAAAGTCTTGAGTTGGAGGCTGTGTCTTTACAGATCCCGTTTCTTACATTTTACATTTATTTACAAACATATAAACAGTGACATTAACATCATCGCTTAACCTCCAAGAGTGAATCACTCAGCTGTGGTGAAAATTCCATTACCTTCCAGTAACAGAATGTGCTGTCCTTGTTCTTCATTTAAATGCTGGGTCACCGTCCACAGCAAGTCACAAACTAATGCATATTTGCCTGTAGACGCCTCTGTCTCTTTCTGGAATCCCGTCCTTCACTGGACGCTCATGGATTAGTGATGGGCAGGGGCTTGCAGAGCTACTGGTAGGGATGGGCTCATCAATACCTGGCTGGCAGTGGCAGCAGTAACTGCTCACAAGGTCCTGACACACAGCGCCGTTGAAACAGGGATCCGAGTCACACTCGTTCACCTCCACCTCACAGGAGGTGCCGGTGAAGCCTGCAGGACAGCTGTATGGAGAGGAGGAGGGAGGACAAACAGGGAAAAGGGGAGAGGAGTAGAGAGGAGAGAGGGAAAGAGGGAGGGAGGAGAGATGAAAAGAGGAAAGGAGAGACAGAGGGAGGAGGAGAGAAGAGTAGAGAGAGGGAAAGAGGAAGAGGGAGGGAGGGAGGTTGGATAGGGAGAGGAGAAGAGGAGGAGAAACAGAAAGGAGGAGAGAGGAAAAAAAAGGGCAGAAGGTGAGGAGGAGAGAGAGACAAGTCTTGCTTCAGCAGAATGCTGCCCCCCCTGTCCCTGAGTGCCACCGGAATATTCTGTGACGCACATGGGAACATGATGCCACCATGGCAGCATGCAGGAAGACAAGCCCAGATACAAACTAATGAGGAGAAAGCTGCTTAGCTACCTTTGGCCTGGCTGATATCACCGAGGCGGCATGGCGCCTGACATCGACAAGAGCGGAGCGCACTGATGCTGGATGTAGTCCTGAAAGAGTGCAGTGACTCCCCCATGTGAGTAAGGCTGTCACTGTATAGTGAGGGGAGGGGGGTCACACTGTGCCAGCATACTCATCCTCTATGACGCCTCAAAACACACCCCCACCCTCTAAAATGTCACAGAAGCCCATAAAAACATATTTACACAGGGACACAATCACCAAATAGTTATACGGTACAACATTATACATTTATAATATACATCCTAGTACACATGATATTTATGTGCTTAAAATGATGGTGAAATATGAGTACTTGAGCGGGTAGTGTGCTTAGTCTGGCCTTACTGATCACGCTAATATCTGTGTTCATGGGAAAATTCTCCATACAGTGACGACTTGACACCCCGAGACCAAGAAGGCCAGGTGACTTTGGCCAGCAGCTTTGGCGCCATCACCGTGGCAGATTGTTAGCGTCGTGGAGGAACTGTGACGCTCCGGCAGCAGTATCAGCCATCATAGCCTCCTCCCTGTGGGCGGGGCTGTAGTTCCCGAAATGTCTGACAGCTACAGCCTCTGGAAAAGCCCCAAACAAACACGAAACTGACCCACTGGGTGACGTACAACAAGCACGGTTTGGAATGAGGAGCCATCCTCATTACCCATAATGCCGCACTCTATTAGACAATAATGGACTTCACATGACTATCTGAAATGCCATCATTACGCTATGAAATATACCGTAGCTGCTGCCTGCGCTGTATTATGGGAGCAACCTGCATTGGCACCTACAATTATGCTGCTTTTCAGCCCATGAAAGACAACGGCAATAAACATGATGGATAAGAATAAAAGGGGGTCCTTTGCCCCACTTCCTCTGATTCTGCGTGTTTTATTGCATGGCACAAACCTGTAGTGTGAACATGGCGTGGTTGGATCACATGCACATTACCGGCTCATAATTCATGCCCATCGCATCCTAATCACATTAGGTTCGATTTCCTGATGTTTGCATATGTAAATAGATCAGTGCCCGTACTTCCAGAACATTATTAATCATATCTTTCAAATGCTAATCCCGAGGCACTGATGATCGGTTTCTTTATGGTGTCATTTTTCTGTGTTTTAAACTTCATCAGCCAATGAAAACTTCTGCTCAGCTTTCTCTAATTGAGGCCGTGAAGACCACAAACTGACCTGCAGGTGAACCTGGATCCGGGTCCATCCAAACACAAGCCTCCATTGCGGCAGAGTGGGAAAATCAGAGATTCCCGACACATATCCACATCCACCTCGCAGTTCATCCCAGTGTATCCGTCCTGGCAAACACAAGCGTACTCGGCGATCAAGTCGATGCAGGAGGCGGCGTTGAGGCAGGGATTGGATTTGCATTCCTGAGGATTTGGAAAACAAACATTCACAAAACGAGGGTGATCGAGGGTGAGGTACCATGAGCATGGGCGCTGTAATGCACGGGGCCCCCTGGTGGACAACTTCAACTAGAACAGGCGCCTCTGTCAACTCAAACAGTAAAATGAACACTTACTAACAGGAAACGCTCAAGGAAATTACAGGTGGAACTATATCTGAGGGAACACTTTTAAAAACACTATTTGTTACATTAACATCTTTACACTGCATTTATCTTCTGACAGAAAGAACAGCTGTATCCATGGAACTAGAATGAACGCTTCTGGGTATAAATGTTTCATTTTGCATCCACCGACGTGGAGCTCCCCTGAGTGGCGAAAGGTTCTGGGTGAACCTGAAACAGCCTGACACACTTTAAATTACACTTTGGACAGGCGATGACAAGGATGGAGCATCATGAAGACATTACCCCGACACGGTGCGTGTGTGTGTGCTGCGTGTGTACAGATGGGTCAGGGAGACTGGGCCGGTGTGCTGTCATGCACGCCTCAGACGGAGACTCCTAACGACTGAGACAGTCTTGTTCCAAAAGTACCACCAAAAACCTGTCAATGCACTCAGCATTCCTGTCTGACAGAGCGCTTGATTTTTTATTCATCTTTTGATATTTTTGTACTTTCATGGTAAAAAGGGTAAAATCCTTACTTTTGTCTATGAGGAGAAGAAAGATGTTTTTTTATTTTATTGAACAATATGAAGTGAACTCAGTCTCCAGAGTAAATAATCAGTAACAGTACATTGTACATAACGATTCAGGGAAGAAATCGTTAAATTGCCCTGTGTGCACGTTATATCAGAGCATTAATATCTCTGCTGGAGGCTAGGGGCTTCGTATTGATCAGTGTGGGCAGGGAGGTAACCTTCATTAAGGAACTCTCCGCGGTCAAGTGATTGTGGCCACACCGTTCCGGTGCAAACACAAAGGCGACATTCCATTAGGTTCCGGGCAGTCCGGTTCCCAAAGAAACCTTGAGCCGACTGCGGGAGAAATAACAGGAGGAATGGAGAGAAGCCGACTAATCGAATTACCGCGGATCTATAACAAACAGCAGCCGTGGTCTGGGCTCTGCTCCTCTACACAGGCTGTGACTCCTGAAGCATGCAGCAATTTTCCGGCCTGTATGCTTTTCAAAGGAATAATTCACTGGGCCCCGCCACACCTGCCCCCCCCCCAGATCGACAGAAAGAACGGCTTACGTTGATGGCCGTGTCACACCTGTCCCCGGTCCACCCCGGCTCACAGCAACACCGGCACTCAGATCCCGTGTCTATGCAGCTGAAACGGGATTTGAAGAGGCTTCCGTTAAAATCTCAGCATCTCGATCCAAAGGCACCACACCCCACACTACGCCAATTTGTTCACCGCACAGCCTAGGAACTACATAAAAGCACATCAGAGATGGATTAGTCTCCTTTCCAGGAGTCCTACAACATGCTAATGAGGGTGCTGCTTGTCACCGTGAACGGTGCTGCTCCGGTGGCACATCTTGGTGATTGTCCCGCCCCTGGCTGAAACCGCTCACCTCCCGTGGACGCATCCGGCAGCGTTGGCCCTACAGGTCGCCCCCGGGACACCCTCAGGGCACCCGCAGCGGTAGTCGGGGGGGCCAGCCTCGCCCCCGGTGCTGTTCCGGCAGGGCTGGGAGAGACACCCGTCCATCATCTCACACCGCAGCCCTGTGGGGGGGCAGCCGCTTTTTGTTAATCTGGCACCCAAAGGTCCTGGCCCCTGCTCCGTCACCGTGTGTGTGTCTGTGTGTGTGGGCATGCATATATTATATTGTGGAGACATTTGGTCCCCACAATGTGATACAACATGTTATTTTGACCTCGTAGGGACCATTTTTCCAGTGCAATTGCAATCAAAAAACTAAAAATGTCAAAAGTCTCGTATTTTGTTATGTTACTTATGGTTCAGGTGAGGGCTGGGTGGGGGTTAAGGTTCATTGTTGGGGTCAGAAATGGGCAAAGATACATCAAAATGTATTTTGATACAAAATACCCCATTTGTAAGTGTATCAAAATAAACAACCAAATACAGCAACCAAGCAAGGTATCAAAATGAACTTCCTTACTTTTGTATTGCAAAATTACAAAAAATCCATTTCACATACTTCTGTTCTGCATCAACCTGTTCTCTGTTCGCCGACCCAATCCTGCTCTCCATGACACACAATTAGGTGAAAGCGAGCTTGGCAGTGAAGGGCAGCCACCTGAAGCTGGGGGCTAAGGGCCCCGCGCCCCCCCACAGGCACAGAGGCTCAGCCTGCCAGGTCACAGGCGACCCACACAGCTAATATTCTGAGGTCTCAAATATATCACACCACCTCATGAAAGCACTCAGATAAAGTCAATCAAATATAGTAATAATAAACTCAGAAAGATTTGTGTTTTTGTAATGTAATTGACAAACATCAACATTTAAACACTTAAACATTTAAAACAATTAAAGTGTTTCACTCAGCAACATCTTAAAATCTTTAAAAATGAATAGGCCTGAATGGTCCCCACAAAGATCTATGATTGGAATGAAAAAAACTAAAAGTACAAAAAGTCTCATATTTTGTTTGGTTACTTGTGGGTAAGTTTAGGGCTGGGTAGGGGTTAAGGTCGACATGTTGGGATTAGAGTTTTCCCCATATAAATGAATGGAGAGTCCCCACAAAGATATAATCACAAACCTGTTTGTGTGTGTGTGTGTATGTTTGTGTGTGTATATGTTTGTGTGTGTGTGTGTATGTTTGTGTGTATATGTTCGTGTGTGTGTGTGTATGTATGTGTGTGTGTATATATTTGTGTGTATATGTTTGTGTGTGTATGTTTGTGTGTATGTGTGTGTGTGTGTGTGTGTGTGTGTGTATGTGTGTATGTATGGTGTAACAGCGGTTTGTCTGCCCGTACAGGAGCCCAACTTTAACCCGCCAGTTAAAATAAAACATTCACTGCACTGACCCTGCCTGCCC